GTGCGTGCGTGCGTGCGTGCGTGTGTGTGTGTGTGTGTGTGTGTGTGTGTGTGTGTGTGTGTTGCAGACAGACATACAGACAGACAAACATACATAACATATGGAGCAGACGGACCACATAACTTCTTTGTGTTGTCCATGTATATCTATGACCTATGTGTATTTATTCCTGTGATAGAGGTTGGACAATGCAACGTAGTCCCACGTTCAGCCATTCGACATTATTATAGGTGTTCGTTGTTTGAATAAGAGGGGAGGAAGCAAAATTTGGAATCACCTTTTTATCTGTTTCTCCCCTCATTTTTATAGATTTCTCAATTGGATGAAACCAAGCATGTTTATGCATTGAAACCAAGAAAGGAAGAAGACGAAAAAAAAAAACCTCATCCTCTCTCTCTCTCTCTTTCTCTCTCTCTCATGTTTATACATTCAAACCAAGATACTTGAAGAAAGTAAGAACACAAAATTAAAAACGATAGAGATTTAAAGAAAGAAAGTAAGAAAGAAAGAAAGGAGAACAAGAAAAAAACAAAAAAAAAAGAGGTTCACTAGTTGGAGGCAAAATCAGCGACAGTGTCGTCCATCTATACATATATGTCCTCCACTAGTAAACCTGATCTCTCTCTCTCTCTCTCTCTCTCTCTCTCTCTATATATATATATATATATATATATATATATATATATATAATCCAACGAACACCAGGAAGACTAACCATGACACGCAGTAGACGGGACAACCATTACGTGACACACACAACACAATTCTCAAGCAACTTTTTTTTTCGCGTCCCCCCCCTTACGAGGCACTGCTCTCCTCTTCTTCGCGCCTGCTCTGCTGCCATCCGTCTCCTCTTGTCTGGCCTCCATCCGTCGCTGCCTCTCCTCTGCTCTTGCCCTCTCGCCCAACATACCTTCATATTTCTCCACCCAGCGAGGCTTCGACAACCTATCCACCAGCCTCATGTCCTTGACCTGGATCGTCACCCTCTTCGAGTGGATCGCGACCTCGTTGGTGTTCTCGAAATTGGCAACCAGGTACGCCTCGGCAGCCTCCATCAAAGCGTGTTCCAGACATTTCTCATGGCATCACGCATCTGCATCCTCACCCGGCCATATGTAATCGGGATCTCATATGGCACCAAACCCCACCTAGGATCTCTCCTTGCATCATTCTCGGGGCACACCGTTCTCGCTGCTGCATCGTTCCCACCAATCACCCATGGCGTTTTGCAATCAAAATTGTCGTGCAAAAAATCGTTAAGCCTCAACTCGCCCATCGCCTCCAGAACACGCCACATTTACAACGCATGTTGTCCTTTCTCCCGAGCTCTTGCCGCATTGTTCAACCTTATAACTCTGTCAAACACGATTGACAGAGTCACGTTTCGCCATGCGCTTGTTTTAGGGACAGGAAATGAAACCCAAGTCCCAGCGACTTTGAACGCGAAGCAAGGTACTCCTCCAACAATACCCGGTTGAACACGACCAGGCACCCAATTGATGTCATATGGGAACTGTTCTCCTGCTAATGTCTTGACCACATTTTCATCCTCAATAATACACCCTGCATGATTTTCCCTGCTCCCCATACCTCCCTCTCCTCTCTCTTCCCCAACCTTTTCCGTCTCACAAGTGCTCCCTCGTGCATCATTATCTGATTCATCACCATCACCCATCATCTCTGCAGTATGTGCATATATTGTTGCCAGCACGTCTGCACAGTCAGTGGTGTTCATCTCAGCCGAAATCCCTTCCTTTCTGCCATCTGCAAGACCCTTCACAATGTCCTCTGTCTCCATGGCGCAAGTCTCTCCAGCGTTGACAGTCGATGCAATCGCGGGTTCCATCTATTGCATGAGACACCACGTACATTTATGAGAACACGTAGCTCCGCCATGCCCCCCTCACCCCAGAGAGAGAGAGAGAGAGAGAGAGAGAGAGAGAGAGAGAGAGAAAGAGAGAGAGATTTTTTACAGTAGAGAGAGGTTGCTTACTGCGGGCCATAACTCCAACAAACATCACATTTTTGCGAAATACAGACGAAGTAGTGAACCTCTGACAGAGAAACATGCATAGATACAGCAACAGCACGAGGTTCACTACTGCGGGCCAGAATGACAACAAACAACACCGGTTAACACTTACATGACACGCAGTAGTGAACCTTCCGTAGTTGGGAAACTACAGCGTGCTACCACCGCGAGGTTCA